CCTTTTCGTCAAACTAGTGTGGGTTTCAAATGAACTCAAATGAAAAAGGTGGAAGTGCAATCAACAAATCAACTGCACTAGCTGGTCCTCTTGTCTTAAAATAGGAGCCCATCATCTTAAAATGAAATCTAGGTCAGTTAGAAGTGAAATCTCAAAACATTTTTTCACATAAAGGGGTGTGAATATATGGAATTCTGCATTATCACAGAAGACTGTAGGTACAGAATCGACTGGGGTGTTTAAAGGTGAAATAATTAAATACTTGTGAATTAAGGATAGTAAGGGATATACAAAAAGACACAAATAGATAGATTAAAAGATATGTTGTGATCTAATAAAATGGCAATCAACAGTACAAAGAGCTGAATGGCCTCCTCTTGTTCATGTTCCCAATAGAATAATGCTTTGATCTTGAAATCTTGGATTTAAATCGATAGCAAAGGAAATATTTGATCTATACTTAAATACAAGGATCGTTGATGTCTTTCAAGAAGCTAGAATATGATAACATGCATTCAAATGATATATTGCAATAATAATTGTGTGATTTGACTTTAATAGATTAAACAAAAATAATATTTTTTTAAAAGTACACTGGCTAAAAAAGTTTAAACTTGAGCCTGCTGGAACATTAATTTTTAGTTAGGTTTTACAGGAGAGGTTATACATAATTGGCACTGAGCCTATCTACAAAACTCCCTGCTCTGGCTACTATGTTGGCTTTTATAGGTCAAGCTGTTCCTGGCGCTAAACCTGTCTGCAAACTCTCTGTTCTGGCTAGAGCTTTATAAAACTGTCTTTACACTGGAAGCTGTTGCTGACCATTCAGCCTGCCTGCTAAACTTTCTGTTCAAAATGAATCACACTGAGAAGACTGAATTCAAGGAACATAAGCTGTTATAATAATAATAATCCCTGCCTTTGATATAGTATCTTATCATGTCATTGAGACGTCTCAAAGCGTTTCAAGGAATATATTATAAAATGTATTGACTGTATACTTTGTGGGTGAAATGCGGCAGCCAATTATGCATAGCAGTGTCCCATAAACAGTTATGGATTAGGAGTTACCAAATTATTATTAGTTTTTTTTCCAAGGGATTAATATCCTCGAAAAAGCAATCCGCCATTGACTAACAACCGGGTTCCTACTTACTGTAAGGTAATCAGAGGTGTGTGGAGTAAGGAAACTTGCCTAAGGCTTCATGTTATGAACTAGAGGCTATCAATTTCATACTGCTAGAGACATCCCATGACATGCTACAGGCCTACCTCTTCTAACTCCACTTTCCTTTATTTTCCCTTGATTTTCACCATAATCTTTAATATTTCTATTTTTCAAGTACCAATCCATCTCTTTCTTGAATCACTCAATCAATTCCTCAACTATGGTTTTCAGGAACAGTGTATTAGCAATTTTTGTCACTCTTGGCATTGAGGCTCCCTCCAACTCTTCAACAAATGTGACATATTTATGGAGCAAGCTGCTCCTGGCACTAAAGATTTGTAACCCTGCCATGCAGAATACTTACAAAGATAAGACCATGATATCGATTAAAGGCTTTGGCTCGCAGGGTTGAATATGCCTACACCTCCAAGTCTTATTGAGCCAAATAGACTGGTCATCTGTCAACAATTCCTTGAATTATTGCAAATCTACCTGGTCTCCATTGAGCCATTTAACCCACAGCAATCTTGCTTACCACCAGTCTCCCCAGGAGGATGTGTTTTGACGTGGTATTAATTTTAATAATCTCGAAAGGGTCAAGATCTTAGCTTGACATTGATAGCGCTGTCTGGCAAACTTTCTCGCTGCTTGTCCAGCTAGGTTCACCCTACCCATTAGGATTTTGGCTTACAGGGTTAACAGGAGCTCAGTGGGCTGACTCCCTACCATAGTGACTGGTCTGCTCTTCCAGGTCCTGCTGATGAGCCAGGCAGGCTGTGCTGTCATCAGCAATGCCCTGGAATACTGGGGACCCACCTGGCTCATGAACTGGACTGTCAAGACCGCCACAAAGGGCTGAATCAATTCCGATATTCTGTTGCCAAACATGTCACCTTGGAGCCAGTTAATCTCTAAGGAGACCCCTGCCTATTTCCCTCCCAAGGAGGATAATCACTATAATAATCATTGCATTCGATATAGTGCTTTTCACGTCTTCTAGACGTCTCAAAGTGCTCACAGAATAGACTGTAAAGTGAATTGACTGTATATTTGTGGGTGAAATGCGGCAACCAATTGCGCACAGCAGTGTCCCACAAACAGTTGTGGATTGAAGTGTTGGTCATTCGACATCCGACAAGCGCGGGTTTGAGTCCTCACAAGGTGGACGGTAGATACAAGGAATTCCCTGCTAGCTTTCTGGTGGGCAACAAAGCTTAGCATGAAATGTGTGAGAGCACTGCCACCATCTTCCTGTCTGGAACTTGGGCGCATGTTCTTTCCCATTGAGGAATGGTTCCACCAGTTGGAGATGTGGATCTTATGCAGAAGCTGCTTACCTCTCTATAAGCCAATCAAGGTATATTCCAGGCATTGGATGTATGAATGTGTGTTCATGACCTTGGACTCCAGGTAACTCCTTCCAGCAGCTATCGCCTCAAGCACCAAGAGTTTCCTTATCAGCTATCTGGCAGACATCTGCCTTCAGTGTGGTGGGAGGACTTTTACAGGACAGCTTGTGATGTGTCAGCCACCTTAATTTTCTCAAAGTCCGAGCCCAATGCCGTGTACCAGGGTTACTCAGAACCAGCTGCTTAATCCAGGCTCTTATGGTGGGGCCCTGGCGAATAGATGTGCTCTCTGTGAAGCCGCCTCCACCTCTGGGGTGCTTAGTGACAGGTCAGTGTAGACCAGAGAGCTCCACATCTGCAGCTGCTTCCCGTGTTTGCCACAAATCCACCTCACTGCTTGATACTGGAGAATTACAAGGACAGCAATATTATGGTTGAAGAACCCAGTGAGAAAATGAAAGGAAGTGACCACTATTTATACTATACATAATCTACGGGTTCCAAGAATGAACTTGAATATCATATTCATTATTTTAGTCAATCCTATCAAATTTTATCTGAACACATCATGTTTCTCCACAATTAATATATAGTCTTATAGAGTTTACAATGTAACTAATTCCGTGTGCAACTGAAAGGTAAATAAAGAATAGGTGCATTGGAGGCAAAAATGTAGAGTCCTGTAGCTTAGTGGTTGGAACACTCATCTCGCAAGCGAGAGGACCTGGATTTGATTCCCGGGCAGGGCAAAACACTGGGCAAGTTTTGTTACTCCACATGCCTCTGTTTACCTAGCAGTAAGTAGGAACCCGATTGTTAGTCGATGGATGATCACTTTTCTGGGGGTAATCATGTCATCAAAAAAAATAATAAAATAATAATTTGATCACTCACTCAATCCACGACTGTTTGTGGGACACTGCTGTGTGCAATTGGCTGCCACATTACACCCCAAAAATACATCGTCAATTCACTTTACAGTATATTCTGTGAAGCGCTTTGCGACATCTTGAAGACGTGATAAGGCACTATATCAAATGCAAGGATTTTTTTATATTACTAAAAACAAAAGGTAATGTAGATGATCAACTGAAAAACATGCTGAAACAGGAAAAAAAAATTAAAACAATGTACCAACCAAAACCTTTCTTCAATGGGTCCCTTGGGAAAAGGAAAGTGAGCAGAGACGTGGAGCAGGACACAAGGTAATATGGGGTTAGAGGAAAGGCGAGAGTACAAAGCAGACAATCTGTGAAATGGTATGACTAATGAGGTATTCAAGGACTTAAAGGGAACAGATGAGGTGACCACATAGAGGGTGACAATGACAGAGAGAAGTCAGCTTTAGGCATAAAGCAGGCATTGTAAAGGAAAAGTACCAAGAACAAAGAAAAAAGTGAGTATAGACATATAGAACAAGGAAATAAATGTTGGATAAAGGTGAGAGAGGAAGAAACGGAAAATGGAGAGTTAGAGAAGAGGGAAGAAATATTTATAAATGGTAAAGAAATGATTTAATCCTGGGCTCAGGTGATCTAGTAGGGCAACAGGTGACTTTAGTTTCTGCCTTTTATATCGACAAATGCAAATACACAGGTGGCAATATCTTGTGTGTGTGTGTGTGTATGTGTGTGTGTTGATGGGGGGTTGTTCCATTCTCTAATTGTTGTGAATTGTTCACTATGTCTTTATTATAGGACTTCTTATCAGCAGATCTGCAATAGTTATAAGAAGTAACAGGAAGGCAATGAGTTCAGGAAGGTTACTAGAGTAGGTGAATTTGATTTACACAGTCGGGTAAATGATGAGCGTTGATCAAATTCAAACCATAAGTAACCGTGGTACCTTTCTCAGGCTGCGATTTAACGATGTGTTTATCGTAGCTCGTGGTTGAGCACTTATTCTGGGATCAGCTGTAAAATGTGGTCTGGAGAAAAAAACATCATCGGTTTCTAATTATTTTCTAACAGTTCATTAATCAAGCATTTCTCAGACCTCTCCCTCTCTCTGTCTGTTCCATGGTATGGGCACTTTTATGTAAGGCAGCTGCTTTCCTTTTGAGCAGCACTTCCTCATGGGGGCTCAGTTCTATCCGTTCATCCTTCAATGTCTGTGAATAATGCAGCCTTAGGCATTAGTGATTACTGTATTCCGAGCTGCATTCAGGAAGTGATCTTACATTACACACAAAGCAGGAGGGTAAAGACCTCCTAGGTAACTGATGAGGAGAAAGAGTGCACGAGGAGACCGAATACTAACTTGGCTTGTTGCTACTCCACCCTAGTCAACAGTCAAAACCAAAGAAATGACTGATTCATCGGGATGCTACAGAGATATATGAATAGTTCAATGTGTATATTTGCAATAAATGATATTTATGTTGAGAGGGATTTCTGTCTTGTGCTCGATCACCTTTTATTACTTTTGTGGGAAAGGAGTGGCAAATGCTCTTTTGACATTGCTATTTTCTACATCCACTGCAGAGCTCTGAAAGCAAAGTCGCCTCTGAGAATATAATGTTAATGCTTGACGGGATGCCAGCAGCAAGAGTCAAAGCAGAGCAACTGGAATCTGAGCAAGGGGTGAGCTACACAACTTTGCCCTTTTCTGTAATCATTTCCAGAATTTTTGGGTGCTTGTCTCTTCACAGCCTGAACCACAGAGTTTGTATCCGCAACCTCAGCTCCAACCTTGAGAATATTGATGTCTGACATCAAGACTGGTAAACTTGAAACATGAGGCAAACTTGCTCATTCAAAATAATTTCAATACAGATTATCAAAAAAAAGTTGCCAAGTCACAGAAATATAAGGGTGAAAATGTGACATTTTGTAAAGCGTGATAAACATCACAAGCTACATGTTATGAAATGCTGCCAATTAAAGATATGTTTATCAAAATATGTAAATATCCTCTCAGCTAACCATGTTTTTGGGTTATGTAAGTTTGGGTAATTTTCTGGCAAATGTTTCAGATATCGACAGAAAAAAAGTTCATTTAAATATTGCATCAAGAAAGAACTCTGACTTTGACTTCTCACTCTCGTGACTGTAGCTATGATTCCAAATGGATGATGCCAATAGTGTTTAGTACCAGAGCCATTCAGAGTGGGAACACTCCTCGAGATCTAATTCTCAGGATTAATTTAAAAGAAGGTGGAGCTTTCTTTGCAATTTTTTTTAAGTAGTAATCCTTAATAAGGAATCTTTCTAGAAATCTTGTTGACTTTTCGGAATTCCACTCTGGAAATAGTTTGCATTAGAATGGAGATCTCATGTGTTGGTATAATGTACTTTGGTTATGGAGGAGTCCTCATTTACTTATTAGGGAATTCTGTTAAGAAATACCACAAACTAGATTCTGATACAAACAGTTTGTAAATTGAGTGTTTCCTATTTACATATTAGAGCTAAGTTATTAAATGCTTTGAAGAAATAACCTCAATTAACAGTTTTATATCATTGGAGGATTTCCACATTCAATTGCTTATGAAAGGAGTGTCCTACTCACACAGAAGCTAAATCATCCATATGCAGTTATACCTTTGAGAGTTGGCTTTTCCTTTTGAAAGACCTTAGGAACTTTAACAACATCACATCTGTAAATCTGCTGAAAATAGAAACTGATAATCTCATAAAATATCCCCAAGGAATGTTGCATTTGGATCATAGTCTCTGTATAATGGAATGAGTGAAAACAGGAACCATACGTTAGAATTCTTTTGATGGGAAAGAGTGTAAATTGTACTTTGGAAATCTGTTTTTGTAATGGGACTTTTAATTGGGTTTCTACTTATCTGGACTCTATTGTAACAGATCTGAATATAAGTATTTTACCAGTACCTGGTGTCTGTTTGGATGATTTCAGCTTGTATTATTTTTTAAGCTTCTATTTTTTCTTTAACAAGTTGCTTTGAGTAACAATGTAGTGAAATCAGCAACCCTTACGACAGTTTCACACATGGTACGGTACATAAAAGTCATTCTGGGATCTGAAATATCTATACATTGAGGCTGATAGGTATCAGGTCTGCAGAAGGGTGGTCCAAAGTCCTTAACCTCTCCCAGCTGAAGAAAAATGACGAGAATATAAACAAGAGCTATTTAAGAGACTGGAAAGGAAGGTTTTTAACTCTAATTTGGTATTTTGGTGGACTTTATAATGAAAAACATTATAGTTGTTATTTGCACTGAAGAACTAATGTTATGTGTATTTACACAGAATCCTTACATGTACAGTGTGAGGTACTGGAAATTGCCTTATCCTCTTCGTTATATTCGAATGTTACTATCATTTCAGATGGAGGAAAGGTTGGTATACACGTATGTTCTTTACCCCAACCACACACATACATATACTCTAGATACACAATTTAATCCATTTACAATTACTGTAGTAGTTTGAATTTAACTTCTTTGGATTTTTAGATGCACTTGAAAGCATTCTCAAATTACACACAACGGAGATTAGCATTACTGGTGCTGAAACATTAAAGTGAGTGGAAAATGTGAGCCATTTACATTGATTGTTTTTCATTTGTCAGATTTCCTGTTCATGCAGCAAATTTTAGTGAGAAATCTAACTAAATTAACTAGTCCTGGGAAGATAGGGAAGAATTTTCCAGGTAAACTTTTTTCTCTGAAATTGTCCATGTTTGATTTTTTTCTCTTTATCACCTTTCCTGGGTGGGTGGAACCAAAAGCCTGGAGAGATGTATGATTACATATTGTGAAGGAGGTGGAGTAGGGGGGTTCTCTCAGGAGCAAACTTGATGGGCTTTTTTCCCCACTCCTTTTTGTCTATGTACTGTATTCAAATATGTATGTATTTAAAAAGCCTGTCACTTGGTGGAGATAAGACTGAAGAAACCTCTTATATCTTACAGTTATATTACCATTCTAATATAATTTACAGTATTTGTAACTGCCATTTCAAACAGAAAAGCCTTCAGAATCCCTGATTTTCTTAAACAACATTAATATTGTAAGAGTTTTTGTTGAAGCAAAAAAGTCATAAAGAAACTGGCAGGACACCAAGAAGCATATTGCAATACGGACAAGATTAAAAAAAGTTGTGTCTCACTTCCCCCAAATGTGTCGGATTTAGAAATGTATATATTTGATAGTTTTGCTTGTTTTGTTAAGGTTCAAATTGACCCTCTACAGATTTGTGTTTGTCTAAAATTATTTTAGGGTTTTTAACATTGAATCCATAAAATAGATCTGAATGAGTATCAATGGCCCAAGTTTTCAAACCCAACAAAGTACTGATTTCATAAGGAGCACATCAAATCCATCCTCTCAAAGACAGGATTATGGAATGACACACCATTTGCTGGCATAGTTGTCCAATATAATAGCACATCAAATAATAATGCTTGCAATTAATATAGCACATATAATAGGTAGAAATATCTCAAAGCGCTTCACATAGTTTTCTTTAAGCTGAAGTGACTGCATATTTCTAGCTGAACACAGCAGCCAATTTGTGCACAGCAATGTCCCGCAAACAGCTATGAAGTGAACGATCAATTTTATCTGCGGCATTGTTGGCTAGAACAGAGAAAATTTTTTATTGTGGTGTGGGAATTCTTTTTACTCTTCTTGCATTGAGTGTTTACGAACTAGAACACCCACATTGATAAACTCTACATAGTGACATTAGCCTTTATCACATGACAGTGAATTTCATGTAGGAGAAGACAGTTTCCACTTTTTATATGGTGTTCAAATGCTTTCACTGCCAGCTATGAGAAAACACCCTGCAGTAAGATTTGGTTTCAATCTGATTTTCTGGGAGTACAATAGCAAACACAATGGTGTGTGAAGATATATATATTATAAAGTGGAATAAGGAACCTGACATAGGAGCGCTTCGTACAGCAGAACCACCTTTTATGCAATAGAGAAGTAAAAGAAATGGTAGGAGAAAAAATCAGGCAAAACATTTGTAGAGTCAATGACTGAATTTGGAGAATAAAATAATGCAACCCATGCTAAAGACCAACGACATTCCAAAGTCAAAAATGTCAAGCTATAACTGTAAAAACCTTAATTAGCTTTCATTAATAGTTGAGGTACAGACCAGTGTTAGATTACTCTGTAAATTCCATAATTTTAGACTCTTTAAAACCACCTGCGATTTACAGCTGTTAGATGTTGGCACAAGCAAGCAAGCTCAGTTCCTAAACCAGGTGAGTCCACAGTACACCACAGGACAAATGACAAATTAGCCAGCCTAGCACGTCAGCAGGACTTGGAAGGACAGACTGTTAACTGGGGGCAGGGATTCTTTTCATTCAGCTCCTATTAATCCTACAAGCTAAAGCACTAATGGATAGGATGGTCCTAACTGGATAAGCAGTGGGAGGTTTGCCAGACAGTGCTCACAATAGTAAGCTGTGCGGTGAGTTTTAGCTGGTTAAACTCTAGAAGTACTCCAGCACACACTCTATGGCATACAATCCTTGGCTGTCACCACTTGTAACTATCACTCTGCAAAATTAGGTAAGCAGTTAATAATAATAATAATAGTCTTGCATTTGATATAGCGCCTTATTACATCTTCAAGACGTCTCAAAGAGCTTCACAGAATATACTGTAAAGTGAATTCAGCACCTTGGGACGTCCTCCTGACGTGAAAGGTGCTGTACAAATGTAATTTTGTATTGTATTTGTAATTGACTGTAAATTTTGTGTGCGAAATATAGCAAAAGATAAGCCCCCGCCCCGAGAAAGGATGTGTATTCCAGATACAGGAAATTTCCACATGTAGGTGGAATACATATGTGGATCTCAGTCCATATTGGATAGTGGTTCAGTTGGTAGCACTCTCGGCTCTTGGTAGTTGGTAGCACTCATAAGACTGTGAGTTTAAGTATTTTGAGACATCCACCCAATGTGAAATGGTGCCATAAGAAATAAAATAATTATCATTTTATTTTTATTCTTATACTATGGAATGCATCTATATGTCAGTCTGACTCAATTGGTAACATTTTCACCTCTGGGTCAAATGGTTGTTGGTTAGGGACTTTGAGATCAAAGACATGATGTCCAACACTGCATAGTTTGAGATTCCATCCTTTATTAACCTGAGGTCTGTCTATTCAGATAGATAATAAAGAATAAATGACACTGTTTGAAAAGAGATGGGAGTTTTTCCCAGAGTCATGACTCGTGACCAACAATCCTTCAGAAAAATTGTTGAAACTGTCTGGTGCATTTGCCTACAAATACACAATTAACTACATTTAACAAAAATTACTGTAAACCAGGCATGATAATAATAAGCCTTGGAATTTGATATAGTTAAAGGTATTTCTAAATGTAAATTATATGGTTTAGTGCCTTTTCATATCAGGAGGATGTCTGAAAGTGGTTCACGGGATTTACTGTAAAGTGTAGTGACTGTACTTCATAGGTAAACAATATGCCAGATAGCTTTCTACGAAGTCTGTAGAATTCTATAAAAGCCTGCTCTAAAATTCTACGCAATGACAATGGCCATTTAAAATAACAAATTAACTGGTAAACTTGCTTATGACTAAAGCAACCATTATTCTGCGATAGTAGGAATAACA